AATATACTTACTAAAATCTTCCCAAACAACAAAAATTATTAATATTAATTTGAGGAGGACATGGTTAATTTGAAAATTACGAAAATTATGACATGACAAATAAGAAAATTTTGTGATTTTTTAGTGAATTCCCCTAAATTTGAAAATTAACTAATTAAAACATAACCGAGTGTTGTACAACAAAATTTTCTTTAACCAGCTATTATTGATTAATCCGTAATTTATTAATCTGTTGTTAATCGGACTTTTATACAACTGGGCCTAAAAAATAATTGTTAATCACAATAAATTAACATTATTCTTATATTAATAATTCCAATGAAACTGGTGTAAATATTTTAATTACATGTACATTTTTGTAACATAAACTATGTTTATATAAATCATATAAATTATTGTAAACTCACAAAAAAATACAGTATTTTCTGTACATTTACATAAACTTTTGTGTATTCACATATTTAATGAACATGCTAGGAACATTGTTCATGTAAGTAAGACGCAGCATGCTGCCACACCACTATAGTGGTGTATTGGTAAGGATGCGCTTTCTTTGTTTCCACACTTTACTGTACTACTACTGATTACTGTACTATTTTTAATAAAAATACCTCATTTAAGGTAAAAAAACATTATTTTGTCAATAAATAAATTAGGCCTAATTGAGGTATAAAAAATGGAATTTAGTTATAAATAATAATTATTATTGAGGTATAAAGAAACTATTTATAGTTTAGCATTATTTAATCAATTTAGTTCGAAGATTAATTTACAAAAAAAAGACCTCCTTTCGTTAAGCAGTTATTCATAATGGATTTTTTAACAGTGGAAGAAAAAATAGAAATGATTTTGATTTATGGAGAAGCAGGCAGGAATCTTGATGATGCTGTTAATATCTAGGCTCAGCGTTTTCCGAATAAAATTCGATCACGAACTTCATTTCACCGTACAGTCAAGCAGTTTACTACAAACGGGAGTGTTCAACCGAAAAAAAGAGTTCGTCGAGCAACAGTCACAGGTGGAAATAATGAAATTAATGTATTAGCAGCCACGGCCGCTAATTTTGGGAATATCCCAGAGCAGTGTTAGCAGAACATTAAAACGAAATGCGATTTTGAGCACATACTTTAATTAAAATTAAAAAAATAAATAAATTAAAAAAATTAAACCAAGTATTTTGTTGAAAAATTATCAAAATATCGAAGAAAATTGATTTTTTTTCATTACAGCGCCATCTATTACAAATATGATAAAATGTTTTAGTCGAATGATCCGAATCTGCAATAAAAAATAGGGTGTTCCATTGGGTTTTCAATTCGAAAATATCATCGATGATAATCATACCACTTGTTATATTATGGGTGAAAATATTCTGTGATGATATTTCATAACCTTTTACGTAAAATATTTTTTTTATTGTGTTAATTTACAAAATTTTACATAAAGCTGCATGTAATAGTTATTTGTTTTACAAGTGTTGAAAAGCGAGTGTTTAAGTTTCTTGAGGCCGTTAGGACGAGTGTGAATTAACACGAGCTTGAAGAAAGCTTTTGTCACAAGTGAAACACAATGTTTTTTGTACGATCCTTTTATTTTTTAATATTTTCAAATATAAAACAAAATAACCTAAAAACGTGTTTGACAGCTGTTAAAATTACTTTCATCTTATTATTTTAATTTTTAAGGTATAAGTTACCGTAAACACGGGTGGCTTTAGCGCACTTTCAAACTTAATCTTAACATTTTTGTAGATTTAACAATCATAAACATTAAATATTGTATACCAAAATTTGAGTCTTGAGTTGCTCTTTCATAATATCTATGTTTTAATCTTACATAGGGCTGAGTTACAAAAATTAAAATTAAAAACTGGGTGTGCAAAGTTACCCCCTGGTTGCGGGTTACTTTGTCTCACAGTGTATTTTCCATATAAAATTAACTCAATATTTTATTTTATTTTTATTAGACATATGTTAGCAGCGACATAATATTATATCTATTGCAAGGGATTACCGATAAAAAAAATAAAAAACCGACCTGTAGTTAACCAAGGATCATCATTCCAAAGAATTGCGCATAATATAGAAATTAAAACGCATGTATTTTTAAGAGTTTTGCACTAATGCAATATATACAATTTTAAAGTGTAATAAACCCCATTTATTTTTTTAAAACACTGATTTTCCTGTTATATAAACTCAATAGAATCGCTCAATTGACAGGTTTAGACCAACAAATTATAAATGTTAATTTTATCGAGCGCGAAAAGATTTTTCATAAAAGGGCTAAAGTCACCCGCGGGGTGCAAAGTCATCCGTTCTAACCACAGACCTACAAACAAGTTGTTTGTAGGTCTGTGGTTCTAACGGTACTTAAAATCAATAAACTTACCTTCTCAATTTAAATAAAGACCGATATAGACACTAAAAATTAGAATTTATTATACAAACACAATTAATTGTGTTCTAAATGATATTTAGACATTTGGAAATTTACATATGGTTAGTTAAATTACATGATTAATTTTAATTAATTTGCCAAATAAAAACCTTGTTAAACAGCTTTTGTTTAGAACTATTTATAAAAATTTGACATTGGTAATATAATAGAACAATATTAATTTGTAAATAAAAACACGGCAACTGTCCTATCCGTTAAGCGTGGAATGGCCCTTAATGCCATGGATATTCATGTAATATTTTTTATTTCCACCTTCTTAGTAAATGACATTTTATAGGTTAATTTTGTTGTTTTTGTATCCAAGTAAACGACACATTATGATAACAGACCTGTAATATTTTACAGGCTTGTATAAAAGACCTGTTAAGTTTTACAGGCTTGTAGAAAAGCAATTTATGAAATGAAATGTCACATGAAATGTTAATTAAAATTCTAAATTTGAAAATCGTTATCTAAAGGTGAAAATAAAAGTTTGTACGTGACACGCTTTGCAATTAATCTTTACTAGGCTCACTGGATTATGGGGTTCGCTCCTGCGTCGCCCTTAAAGATTCATTTACAAAGCTTGACACGTAAATAATTATTACAGTGTAGGCTTTTATTTGTTGTTTTAACGTTTCTTTTCCCTTAAGCTTGCAATATTTAGCATATTAAATATGATTTCGAATAGTACATTGAGTGGATTACTGTTCTGGGTCACAATGGTTACTGTTTTTTTCTCTGTGTATTAAGAGTCGCTCATTACTTTATTAATGACGAATGATACATATTAATTTTATTATTAACAAATATATGAGCACGCACTGTATGGTGTATTTGGTCATATATTTTGTAGGTATATTTAGTAAGGTATCTGTTTTATGTTTTTTTGGGAGCGAGCCAATCGCATGAAGGCATAGATACACTAATAATAAAAACATCAATGCGGTTTTTGAGTGTCATCCTCTGGAACGGACAACGTGTACTGTAGGTATCCAAAGTTACATGGTCAAAGTTTCTTTTGCTCTTTATTATATTGATTGAGTACATCAGAAAGGGAAATATAATAACAGCTACTTATAGAGATATTTAAGAGATTCCATATAAGAATATTTACATAAATAAGAACGAAAACTTTCAACTATTGTACTAATTTTAGAAAATTTTAATTAGCTAGAAGATCTAGTTATTTAATAACACTGTGCGACAAACTTTAATCAAAAAAGTAAAAACAACTAAAATAGAATAAAATTACCTACAAAAAATGTTAATTACCCAAGTTTTTATCGCTAATATTTCGCATTGTAAAATACTTTTTTTTTAAATAACCTACGATTTTTTAAGCGTATAACAATATTCATATTATAACACTAATAAGCCTATATAGAAAAAACTGTACGCAGTTCAAAAGTCAAATTATTATACACCGCCGTACAATAATGAAAATACAATGAAATTACGTAGTTAGTGGTTCCATCTATCGCATTTACCTAGAAATCAGTGTAGGTAAATAAATTCATGCACATAACCTATAATGTCAAACGTCAACATATCATATCATATATCATAGATATATAAAAGTGGACGCGTAATCAAAACGTTAAAATGTGGAAAAACTGAACCAAAAAAATTAATTATAAATGAGATCATTTTGAATAAAAGACCGCACGTTTGTTTATTTAGGAACTGGTTTAACAGATACTGAATCAAATAAGTAGATTTATTACCTTAAAAAGCAAATTTTGAGTTATCATCAATAAGGTTATTTTACCGGTAAAAGATTATTTAACGTAGGAAAGTTTCACTTCAGGCTCTTTATTCTGGTCATTATAACATAGAACCCAACGCAGAACGAACTGCCATCGTACTTTACATGGAGCTTCATGGGATTTTAACAAAAACACACAAAACAAACTTGTCGTTTCGAGGTACATTTAGGTTTAGTTCAAAAACACATCGCTTCAATACCCAAGAGTAGGCGTTACGCGTCCACTGTTAATACGTCCAAATTGTCACAAACTCAAGAATTCCAATTTATAAGTATAGAGTAATTCTTAATAATTATTATTAAATGAGCATCGATATCAAACACTGAGCTTGGCTATAATATAAGCGATTTCTCCACCTGTTAGATAATGTATTTATTATCAAGCGAAATATTATCATTGAAACTTGAGTGGTTAGAATTTTATGTAGAGAATTTTTTAATAAACATTTAGGTAATTGTAAATTCTAATTTGGTGGTTTTCACCCCGACTATAATTTTATAGTGAACATTGTAATGTTTATCTGATGTGTAAAACGGGCTATCACTGGGTAAATTGTCTGTACAAAATGATCGTAATTTTGATCGAGAGCTGTTATGTCAAATTAAAAACAACCAACATTTTTATTAATAAATTGAAGTGGTTGAAGTAAATGAATGCTTTCCATTTGACAAAGCAGTTTTCGGAGCAAAAATATTTGGTTAATAGAGACGTTACAGTTGGTTATAGTTAGTAAATTTGACTGTACTATTAGTAGGTAGGATGTTATTTTAGTTAGTTGCTTAAGATGCTTACCGCCCTGTTCATCCAGCATGACCAGGGACTTCATCCCGACCTCGGTGCTCTACGAAAAAGATACGATATGTCAGCTCGGTTGAACCAGATGCAAAACCCTCACCATGTAACTATTGGTAAATGTACCGTTCATTATCCGGTTAATTGGTAGGTAAATTAAAATAGTTGATAGTAGTAGTAGTAGTAGTAGTAGAAACCTAAATAGAATTAGTCCACCAAACCAACATTTAGTTTACCATCGAAAGCTGTATCACCAATGTTAATAAAATATATTAAAGAGTCACATAAAAACCAAATTGTACCATACACTTTATACCCAATCTTCGTGAAACTTTACAATTATTAATTATACAGGTCAACGGCCATTTAGCTGCAGACAACAAATCCTTAATGGTAATAATAATAATGCAGCAACGGAAGTAGTGCCATGACCAGGATTTATTTCGGTTTTGTTTCGTTATTCTTGTTATTATATAATAATAGTAAATAAAATAAACTTGGACTTGGGAATAAAGTGTTTGACACAAGCAAAAAATCTGGGCTATTAAGTATAAAGTAAGTATGCGTATTCCCACAACACAACGATCGCACGATATAATTAAGTTTCCTTTCAATAACACTTTTCTTTATTAATGAGCTTACCGCCTTGATTGCCTAGCATCTCCAATGTCTTGGTTCCCGCATCCGTACTCTACAACACCATAGTGCGAATAGCAAAATCAAATCAAATATGTAATTTACAAACATGGAAAATAAACAAAAACATCGCACTAAGTGCTTTAAATGTCTCGGACATTTCAACATTAAACATCAAATAAGACAAAAAGCTGTAGGTTTAGAGCTATATTTAATGTTAGCTCTGATACTATTTAATAAATATTGGGACATCACACATAAGTGAAGGTAAATATACAATTACAATAAAACATTTTAAAATACATAATATTATTATCTACTAAGCAAAGCAACTGGCATGCAATATGTAGTCAAGTATAATATGTAGTTTTCAGTGACTAGTATAATGTAACTTATATTGTAGGTATAGTAGATTGAGAAATATAATAAATTATTAGGTGGTAGTATGGAATACATTCAAACAAATGTTATGATTTTGTAAAGACAAAATGATATTGGGTGAACGTTTCTTGAAATTTGCGAAAGCTTACAACCACAAGAGTTTATCATTATTATAATTTTATTCCAGGCCCACAATAATTTTATCTAGGTAAATGCAACTGAACATGTACTTTATTAATTGCACACCAGGTAGAATTTTTTAAAACGGAAATTTCAAGAAACAAGACTATTAGGGTGTCTAATACAACACGATATCGTCTTGTATCAAGTGACGTGAGCGATGTAAGTAATGACGTGAAGAAGGTAAAAATTGACGGATGAAGGTTTAATGGGAACATATTTTGTCGATGATTGGTGATTGTGAGAAGAAATAAATAAGAAAAAGTAAAAGAAGTGGAGGAAGAGAAGACAAGACTCACCTCCCTGGTCATCTAATGCGACCAAGGTGCGGATCCCGGCCTCCTTGCTCTAAAGCAGCACAAAACAAGTGTAAAATGTCAAATGTTGGTTAGTTAATCCATGTTGTTAGTGAGACACGCCCGCAGATATTTTTATTTATTTTATATGTTAAAGTTCATTTAGAAAATTCCCAAGGTCTGCCTATGATTTTTTCCGTCTTTAATTCATTTTAATAATCTGTTTTTTATTCAAATCATACGCAAATCTGGTAAATATGTTTCTTATTAGTTTCAAAAGACATGTTAGTGTCAGGACTTGGTAGTAGCATATAGATTTTTTTGTCACCAAGTTGAAGTCAGTGTCTATTGACAGGCACATACACTAAGTATTTAGACTATAGCTATACATTAATCAAACTTTTTTACAATATTTGCCAATTGGGTTTGGGTTAAATACAGAGTGTTATTGGATAACCTTTTAACCACGAACTACATGATAAATTGTGTTTTACCAATTTTTAAAATTAAGCAAGACAGCTCTTTTTAGTAAGCCAATCAAAGCGGAATTTTTTAAAATTGGTGAAAACAAAACCTGCTTAGAGTTTCTCAAGAAATTCGCGTTTAAAATGTTATCCGGTGACCGTGTGACACCCTATATATAATTAGATGAAAAAATTTCATTCCAACTTTTTTTCGATATGGATTTAATAAATAAAAATAAAAGAATATACACATCCAATGTAGCAAGAAATGTCCACAAAATAAAAGTTAAACAATATTTTTTCAGCTGACCTCAAATTTTAGTTGCACCAAATAATTTTGTATAAATGATAAATTATTTCAATGTCTCTGTCTTACTACAAATGTTCGTGACGTACTTTATGAACTTTATTAAGGATAAAGGCCATAATCTAATTTTATAAAATTGATTAACACTCTTTAACATAAAAGCTAAACATAAAAGCAAAAGATATTCAAGCTTTTTATAAAATTGATTTTAAAGTTAGTTAAATTAACTGAATTATCTTAATATCAAAATCTTTTACTAAAAAAATTAAAATATAAATCGATTATTTTAATGATTATTAAATTTTTATTGTTCTAAATATCTGCAGATGTTTGAAATACCTGAAAATAAAGTAGAGTATTAAGTATATAGAGAATATACAGGATAAAAGTTTTAAATTAGTATATATAATATTGTAGGTATTCTTTATTTATATTCTAATCAAGTTATTTTTAGATACGTTTATAAATTTAAACACTTTAGTTGATTATTTATAAGTCAGTTTGTAAAAGTTTTCTGGTTAAATTACTGCCATCATGATATGGGTATATCAATTTATTGATTTTAAATGGTATTAAAATAAAAACAATTTTGTTGGTATATGAATGAACACAGGATGTTAAGAAAAACACTTGGGTAAGTCATTTGGAACAACTTTTGCTTAATAATTTTTTTTACTCTTAAATTTTTAACAAAATTTAAAAAAACAATTTTAAAGCTATCTGACAACGCAGCTGAAGTTTTGATGCGGGATCTGACGTAATAATTTTATGATTTTATGTAATTGTTACGGTAAAACTAAAACGAACCAACCAACCCAACCCAACCCAACAATTTTCAACAAAGGAATATTTATTTAAATTCATATTATATTACCGTAACAAAATGATAATATTTATGTAAAATTAAATATTAATGTTTTTTTAAAGCCACGTTATTTCAATTCATAAATAAAAAAGTTGTGGAGAGGTCAAATATGGAACCCGGTACTTCTCGCATGCTATACGAGCACCATCTAAGCTACAAAGCTTAGTATGAATTTTATAACGTTCGGGGATTAATACCGATATACAGTGTGTACGGTCAAATTATGACGTCAGTTAGGGTCAAACTTAAGTCCTGCCTCGGGTCTAGACACAACATATAAATAATAGGGTGATTTTTTTTCACGACTATTTTTATTTTTTTCGCTCCCAACTCAAAATCTTGTTTAAAATGTTCAAACAAAAATTCCCTGAAAATTTGAGCCCTTAATATTAACTCAAAGTACTCGACCAAAGCGTATAAAGATTTCCCATTTAAAATACACGTAAACTTTGATTATTTTTTTTAAATATCTATATCTCAGCCGCATTTTATGCTATTGGATTGTTTCAAAAAAGGATTTACTCGTAATCAAAAGTTCTACAAAAATGCTTTATGTGCCATAGCTGTAATCTGCACATGTAGGTAGGGTTGCCAACTGTCCAGAATTTGGGTGGACGTCCACCTTTTCGGCTCATTTGTCCAGCGTCCAGTCAATACCTTTGGCTGGACGTAAAATGTTCATAATTTTCACGTTGGCACATTTTTCAATTTTTTCGAAGGATTTTTTCCACATACCAGCCATGCCTCGTGCCGCCAGAATTTAAATATTCGTGCCTGCCTCGTGCGCGCTGGACTTTTTCCGTAGGCGTTGCGTGAAAGGCTGAAACCATGCTTCTTTTCTTTCTCACTCACACTCCTTTCTTACACATAAGGCAGGAGCGAGAAAGACAGCACTTATCGAGAATAATCCAGTCCTGTCTTATAAGTAACTTACGACTGTTGTCTTAATATAATTATCGATTTGTTTAATTAATCGTTTGATTGTGACAATTAACGTGCGGAATACTGCGGAACTGCTGCTGCTGACCTATTTAGTTTTCTTAAAAGGTAAGACTATTTTTTGTATACCTAATTTATTAGAACGTTTTATATTAGTTTTTCCTATAGATACCTATTTTCTATTATCTAGAGATTTGTTAATTTATAAAGCAATATGTTTATGTTTTAAAGTTACCCATTTAATACATATATTCATGTTTGTTGTCTTAAGGTAAGATTTTTTACTAGAATAAGTATTTTTTTATTTACATTGAACTATTGAACTAAGTGTTTAATCTATATGGCGAGTTCTGTATATTACCTATTTATGTGTTTCCCAAGTTAAAAAAAAAAACAAATAAAATATGTCCATAATTTTGTACCGGTGTCCAGAATTTTTAATCACCTTGCCCAGAAAATCCCAAAATAAAAGTTGGCAACCCTACATGTAGGATGGTACGGGTCACTAAATCTTATTTTAGTGAAAAATTATCATATTTTTAAAGATATTTCAAAAGTGACTGGATTCTTTGAAAGAATGTAAAGAACAAACTTGTAGAAAATTTAATTTAAAAAAAAAAAGGTCCTATCAGTTGAATCGCTAAGATTGATATTTGTTGAGATATAAAGCGTTTACATTGACAATTTATGAAATTTTTAGGATTTTCGTATCAAACTTTATATAAATGATGATTTTCAATTGTTTATCAGTACAATTTCATGTAATTACGTTTTTTCTACAGTCGGGTGATTAGAGAAAAATAAATAACTAAAAAAATCAAGCATAATTATTAATAAAATAACATGTTGTATGTAATACACCTCGTTATATCAATTTTTAGGTTAGATATATCTTTTCTCTTTAAAGTTATGTTATTAATAATTATGCTTGATTGTTTGAGTTATTTATTTTTCTCTAATCACCCGACTGTAGAAAAAACGTAATTAGATGAAATTTTACTGATAAACAATTGAAAATCATCATTTATAAAAAGTTTGATACGAAAATCCTAAAAATTTCATAAATTGTCAATGTAAACGCTTTATATCTCAACAAATATCAATCTTAGCGATTCAACTGATAGGACCTTTTTTTTAAAAAATTAAATTTTCTACAAGTTTGTTCTTTACATTCTTTCAAAGAATCCAGTCACTTTTGAAATATCTTCAAAAATATGATAATTTTTCACTAAAATAAGATTTAGTGAGCCGTACCATCCTACATGTGCAGATTACAGCTATGGCACATTAAGCATTTTTGTAGAACTTTTGATTACGAGTAAATCCTTTTTTGAAACAATCCAATAGCATAAAATGCGGCTGAGATATAGATATTAAAAAAAAAATAATCAAAGTTTACGTGTATTTTAAATGGGAAATCTTTATACGCTTTGGTCGAGTACTTTGAGTTAATATTAAGAGCTCAAATTTTCAGGGAATTTTTTTTTAACATTTTCAACAAGATTTTGCGTAGGGAGCGAAAAAAATAAAAATAGTGAAAAAAAATCACCCTAATAAATAACCACAATAATTATACTGTCAGTAACAGATACCTAACCTCTTTGTTATTCATGCCAGTGAATCGATTAATACTAAATTTTATTTCAATATCGGTAACATTTAATTAAATAAAAAATCCAGAATTGACCTAAAATGCATACCTATAACATTTTTTTTATTAATATCCTATAATTACCAAAGTGTTTTCCCTAATAACCTTTATATTAGATTTGTAAATACTAATATCCTAATCCTGGAAAACACCCAACTAAAAAAATTAAAACAAGAAATTTAAAAAAATAACTGACAAAAATAATGAACTCAACGTTTATTTTTTTTTATTAAATTAAATATGTATACAGGGTGTCCCACAGTCACCTTTTGACCACGAATTCATAGGGAAATTGTTTCATTATTAGGTACCTATTTTCAGTAAATTTTAAATTGAAAATTGTTAATAATAAAATGTATTCAGGAATTCCTGGTTAAAAGGCTATCCGGTGTTCCACACCCAGTATACTTTTAACCGAATAGTTTGGTTATGTTATGGTAGTGGCTGTGGTCTGTTTAAAATATTAAATCTGCAGTATGTCTGCGAGTGTGTGTGTGCGATAGTGCATGTGTGTGGGTATATAAATATATAAATAAATATTCGTAAACATTTTGATTTTGTACACGAAACACAGCACAACACAGCCACACTGGCAGGGCTACCGCTACCACAACATAGACAACGTACACGTACAATTTCATTAGTACTTCAGTGTACGGGACGCTTCACAATTTTTTTTAGTTCTTTAAAAGTTTTCTAATATTGCACCAAAATTACCATTATAAGGTTTGTAGATATCAAATTTTCGAACTGCCCACTTTAAAATTTGAGAATTTCCAAAAATATATACTAAATTTTATAAATTTTTTGTTGTATACCGTAGCTGTAGCTAATGTAAAATAAAACAATTATTTTTTATGAAAAATGTGTTTTTGAACTAAAATTAACACAAAGGCGGTTAAAAAATAATTTTTATAAAATTGAGGGTTGGCCTAAGTTTGACAGAATATTTGCCATTTTCCCTGTATAATTACGAAAAAATATGTATTTCCAAAGTGAATAGGTTTTGGTTAAAGTAGAAAAATTAGGCTACAAAATCGACATTATACATTAGGAATTAAAAAATAATGGAAACAATTTAAAAATGGCAACATTTCTCTACTAGTTGCATAGTTTATGATATTTTAACTTTTGTACAATTAAAGGTACAGAAATAACTGATCATAATATTTATTATTATCGGTTTTAATTGTACAAAAGTTAAAATATCATAAACAATGAAACAAAAGTATTATTAATCTAATGAATTTCTTGCTATCATAAAAGTGCAAATTAAACATTCAAGAAACCACTTAAAAATCTGCAGAAAAATAATAAATAATGCATTTTACAACATTTTAATTTGTTTATTAAAAATATTAATATTTGGGCGAGTAAAAAAATTTGAAATCGAAATATCCAAAAGTGAAACGGCCAGAACACATTCGCCTGAAAAGCGTCATAAAAAAATAATATTTTATGAACCATAGTTGCAACTACGCCCTACAGCATTATTATTATTATTATTATTATGAAACTAACAACACACTCTGTATATGTAGATATTCATAAATCCCATCATAGATCTCTTTTATGAGTCAATTTACTCATTTTAAAGTTAAAGAATGTTTTTAATTTTTTAAGGTTTGCATGGTAACATTGTTTATTATAATAATATATTAACAATTAAAATACTACATTTTCTTTATACGATTTTATTTTTTTTAACAAATATAAGGCATTTCTTTAAAAATTATAAAAACTGATAATAATTGATGAAATACAATTTTCTAAAAAACAGTTATTTAAAATTAATATATTTATGTGTTTCCAACAGGCAATTACAGGAGGACTCAGTGGAACAAACACAAATAAACAGCCATACCCATGTGGGATTCAAACCCACCCCTTGTATCCCGCAGCAAATCAAATTTATTTAAATATAAATGAATAGAATGTATGTATAGCGTGATGGATTTGGCTGTAGAGAGGCGCGTGGCCACATTCCTAAAACACCACTGAAGGCGGTCTACACTATCGAGGGCGGTGGATTTTGATGTTTAGGGTTTTAAAAATAATAAAAATACAGGAATATTTTTAGTCTTTTTGACTCTTGTTTGTAGCATTAGTTTAATACATTTGGGCTAAGAGAAACGAATAAAATTCCGGAATACATAACAGAGTGTGTGCGTTAGAAAGAGAGGTAGTCCTGCTCTGCTCAATACATTTGAGAGTAGACAGTACAGAGAAAATAAAAGGCGTAGAGAAAAAGATACAGAGATAGAGAAGAGTGCAACACATGCAGCACAGAGAAACATCAAACGGTTAACCATCCAAAAATCGAATCATGTTGATTACATTTGGGGGTTTGCGCATATTAACGTATGTAAATTGGTTGCATATAAAATATCCCTTAATATGAGGTGACGTCATAAATGCTTGACCGCGAAAGCAGAGATTTTCAAATTTAAATGAATTTCAAATAATTATGTTATTTTTACCGTAGTTTGTTTTCATTTAAAAAAATTATTATTAGTGCAAACCCCCAGATTTACTTAAAAAATTAAGATTTCTAGAATGGTTATTTCACATTTAGAGCATAGAGAGAAAGTGTTAAAAACTATAGAGAAATACTAATATATCCTGATAAACCAATTTTTAACATTATTTATCACCTAGGAGAGAATTGCTAGAAACATTTATTATTCTTAAACATTAACTTAAATATAAAAAATAAAATGCATAATTTACCTCTTCGCAGAGCGCCAACATACGCCGGGTACTCTCCAAAGACTGAAATAAAAAAACAAACAATATATTTTAATCTTATGAATTTGTTATAGGAAAATTATATTTATATTAAACAATATATATAAAAAAAAATTTTAGTGAAACTTTATGTAAAAAATGTATTTCCTATACCTGTATCCTATATCTTTATGCATAACCATGCATAACATTTAAAATTATTAATTTCAAATTAACCCACTATAATAATAAAGTAATTAGGTATTACAGATAAGACTATTTTTAATATCTATTTTAACTAACTAATTATAATTAAAAATAATTTTTAATATAGAGTGTTCGCGGATGGAGTCATTTTACAACCAAGTCATTCATTATAAAAAGTTCTGCTTGTTAAGAAAATTAATTTTTCAATCCTATTGCATATTATTGACATTATTTGGGGTTTTCCGTAAATAATGGTAACCAATATAACCGCCCGGCCTGACAACGTGAATATTGAACTCATTATTCACGTTTTTATAACAACGTGAATAATGAGTTCAATATAGGCATCAGTGATTGGCTGATTTCAATATTCACTGTTATTTGAACCAATCAGGTTTTAAATTGGGAAAAAGTAAGGTTAACAGATGTCAGATTTGTTTATATATACGAGGGGCGACTTTAATGATCTTTAAAATCTGGAAAAAGTGAGGTTATAATAAATTTTGTTATCAATTAGTATTACACTCGAAATAATGCGCATTATTTACTCGGATGAATTACGTCTCTCGCCTGACGGCTCGGGACGCAAACCTCGTCCTTGTGAATGCATTATCTCTCGTATAATAATATACTATTATAATATAAAAAATTGAGATCAGATGTTAATAAGTTAGGAAAACATTAAAAGGATATAAGAGAGAAGTATTATTATTTATTACTTTTAGGAGAAATTTTATGGAACAAACAAGGGCGTCGCCAGCCAACATTTAAAGCCGGGTCTACAATTTTCGCAGATCGCAGAACATAAGCTTGCGCCAAGCGCACAGTGTTGCTAGAGATAGGGGGCATGGGACAAAAGTATTTATACGAAATATTTAAAAAAAAATAAAGTTGTATTCAGTTTTAAAAATAAAAACAAAGAACCATAACTATATATTTACATAAATAGTTTCATTTTAATGTTTAAATAAAAAGAAAACAAAATAAGTTTTTTTTTCCAAAGAGTTAATTAAATTGAAATTAATAACCGTAATAAACCAACAAAATGTACCTAAATATTTTATTCGATTTAATTGTAGTAATAAATCAATGTTTATTGTTGTAAAACTTAAAAAGTACATATTATTTAAAATAATATTTTATATAGTAAAGAAATCAAAAAAGACCAAATTTACTGAGTACATTAATTATTTAGTGCCAATCCCAATAAGTTTTATGTAGACAAAAAAAATAATTTTATTTTTTTATAAAAATACACCTTTATTCTTTCAGTCTCGCTAATATCTTTCTTTGTCTTCATTATTTAGGAAAAAAGAACTGAAATTTACAGACAAACCTGAATCATTTAGAGACTCCTCAATTAAAAAGTATTCTTTAATATCTGGCATCTAAGAGATCTTCCGAAAGTTGTCCAATAGGCAATTCAAAAAAATCAATTATTTTGCAGCCATGCACCAAAACTTTGTAAAATGAACTATGCATATAGTACCAGTCTACTCGCTGAATTTTACTTTTTTAAGACAATGTTTCAAAAAAATTTTTGGCTTTTAATTAAATAAATAGTTATGGTGCCATTAAGCCAGGCAGCATGATCTTTTCAAGTTTCTTGCGTGATCGGAAGAATGTATGCCACCATTTATTAATTTGGCGACAAAACTGATACTATATATAGGCGGGCTTTATTGAAGAGACAAAATTTTATTAAAAATAAAGTCATATTTGCCTACTGATATAGGCGAAGGTATATATATTTTCTTTTAAGTTTTGTTCTATAGCTTCGCCTATATCACGGTGCTGTTCTGAGAGGTGATTTTTGGACTTTCTGTGAAACCCAATTTTTTTTTATATTCTTGTTAATTAGGTCATAACTAAAATTTTAAGAGCAAAATAAAAAAAATTTGACGGTTAATTTTGTTTTAATTGGATGTTTATTAAAAATATGTATGCACACTTTCAATTCTCCAATTAAAACTTGCGATTTTATTTAAATATTATCATAACTTTTTAAATCAGATTAAAGATTAGTTAATTTCCTAAAAAAAGGTCTATACATTTTTTATATCTTTTACTGTTTTGTTGTAATACACGTTTAAAGTTTTAATTTAAGGTTAAATGTATAGTATACATTTATTAAACAATAATTCTAAGGGTGCCACATTTTATTTAGGGCCGATTTATTCATTTTTGATTTATTTGACGAATAATTTCTTTGGATACTAGATATTGCCATGACATGAAAGTTATCGGCCCGATAAACTTCAATAAAGATGAATAAACCGGTCCTTAGTTAAATTTCATGAATTTCTTCGTAACTTTTACTACAATTTTTCATTTTTGTTTATAAAAAACACTTTAAAAAACTAAAGAAAAATTATAGAATACGTATTATACGTAATACTGAAAATGACAATTCAAACGTCAAATAAATTTTTAATAGATCTAAGTTTCATGGCAACCTTTAAGGATATATTAATTAAGGGAACATAAATGTATACGTCAAAGGTTAGATTAAAAGTTTGAACGTTTATTGCAACAAAACAGTAAAATATATAAAAAAAATTGTAAAAACCTTTTTTTTAGTTATGCAAATATTAAATAATTAAATTAAATCGCTAGTTTTAATTCAAACCGTCAAATTTTTTTTATTTTGCTCTTAAAATTTTAGTTAGGTATGACCTAATTAAAAAAAATATAAAAAAATTAGGTTTCACAGAAAATCCAAAAATCACCTCTCACGTGATATACGTAGGCAAATATAACTTTATTTTTAATAAAATTTCGATTCTTCAAATAAAGTGCGCCTTGATATCTCGCAAAAAAAATACGTTCGTTGCAGGCCGTTGCAGATAATTTATGGAGCAAAAGAAACTACAATAAGTAGAGTACTTATGCAACAAAAATCTTGCATAACAAACTTTTAAGTTTTGCCAAAGTTTATATAGCTTATTTTTAATATATTATCTATAGATCTTCATATTTACAAATAAAATGGCTAAAGAAATATATACAAAACTGATCATATAAATTTATTTACCTCTATTATAATAAAGACCGCTCATTATTAATTTTCACCATTTTCAAGTTAGAAATTTTAACTAGATCAAAATTTTATTATTGTTTTGTCTTGAGTCGATCCTAAATACTAATAAAAGCGTTTTATTGAATTTCAAGTGTTCGTGTTAATTTGTATAGGTATAAAAAGCAGATTATTTGCCAGTTTATGAAAACCCGGTTATTTTATTATAAATTCCAATAATAAAAATTCTAATAAACGGGATTTGCATTTAGGACTTTTGTCCATTGGGTGCAACACTGTGAAGCGCCCAGCTGACAAAAGAACCTTGCTCCATCGCCACGTCGCGGGGTGCTTTGCGCAAGCTTATGTTCTGCGATCGGACCCCTGCGACAATTGTGGACCCGGCTTAACAGAAACCTGTAAATCCCCAAATTTCTTGTAGGAAGTAGGCTTCGGTCAAACCTTCGGCTCAATTTTTGTATACATTTATTTAATAAAACCTTACACCTTCGGCTTAAAATGTATGGATCGACTCGCAATTCAATTCCGAACAACTTTTTTTCTGTCTTGAACACCGATAGGTAACGGTGGGAAGTTAAAATTTTTATTTAATTCTGACCAAATTTTTCCATTTTATTTTATTTTTTCGTCCAATTTAGCCCGTTTACCGGCGATCCAAATTTGAGGAAAATGTTTCTTAAAAATAGGTGGGATCCGTTAAAAACTTTTTGAAAAAAAAATGGGCAGACAAAAAACCACCAATTAAAGGGTAAAATAATGCAGTTCAACGTACTAAAAGATCATCATCATTGAATTAAAACAAAATAGTCGGTAATTTTTTTTTATTAAAAAAATACTTAATTGGTTTTGAATTTTTCCAGTCTTGACAGATTTCCCCTGCCCCCCTTGGCGACGCCCATGAGAACAAAGTTGTTTATAAAGTAACACAGTCTAAACACAAATTTTCGAATGAAAATTCCACACCTGTAATTTTTAACCAATCAAAACGTGTATTTTTGATAGATCACCATGGCAACGGTTGAATTTTAGTGGAAATTTTTTCCTCGTGGGTACCCAACAGCGAATTATACTGGAAATTTTTTGACGTTTATAATGACAGAATATTTTTTTGACAATCTGGTTTTTATTTGTTTACATCATAATTTTGATACATTTCCATTACAAAGTTTAGATGTTTTCTATATTCGTTGGACACCTCCTTTCTTCTTAATGGCGAAAATGCAGGACTTAAAATAAATTAAATGTCTATGTCTAATGAAATATATATAATATTTAGACACTATTCTATTCACCTTTTTTTCCATTTAGCACTCTGAGTTTTGAATAGTTAAGATGCAAATATTCGTGAACAATTCAAAACAAATTTTCTTTCTTCAAGTAGGAGCCACAATCCTCTAATAATGCGGGTAAATAAGTCATTGCACGATGATTGATCATTACAGCAGACAATTTCACATTTTTTTACGTCGTGCCGCTTGACAGCTTCAAAACTGAAATAACTTTTAGGTTGGGGTTGACTTAGTTGCCATGGTAACTAAATAATCAAGTCGAGGTCAAGTTAAATCAAAAAATAAATTTTAATTATTTAAACACAATTTGGTGTGGAATTTTCTTACCGAATACCACACGAGGTCAAATTAAATCCGGAAATTTTTTCTCCCTCATGAATATTTTTAGAAAATTATCCCTCGTCTTCGACTCGGGATAATTTTCAAAATATTCATGAGCTCGAAAAAATTTCCGGAAATAATTTGACCTCTAGTGGTATTACTAGTGAAAATTCCAATATTCAAAATCATTT